GGGGGGGGGTGGGGGGGGGGCGGGGGAAGAAGAAGAAGAGAGATGTACCGGGATGTCATTATCTATGGTTTTGGGGATTCCTACAACTGCAACTTTGAGGCGGCGTCTTCTAATTTCCTGCGTGGATAATCAGGATGCATTATTAATAAAGTGCTTCTTTGATGAAATCTATTTCACAGATGTCAAATATCAACATTGATATGTGTATATAAGCTCAGTTTTAGTCCTAAATCCAGTAGTCTAATATCCTTATTATTAAAATCATATATACCTCAAAAATCCTATCTGCACCCCTCTGAGTTCCATCTCCTCCAATTATATAAACCTGAAATTGTTGAGTTATTAGACTGATGTTACCCCCATATATAGTGAATCTATATGTTCTAATAAATAGAATGAAATACAGACCTGATTAATTCCCCGATCTTGAATACTGTCAACTATCTTAGTGGTGTCGTGTCCACCTCGTGATGAACCAAGGACAGTTCCCCCACGCTTATGTATATCATTCACGTTTTTAGGAGTTAGTGAGATTGTATTGTGAGCATAGAAACCCTTGTAGCCTCCCTTCAAATCACAATATCTTTTTTTAGTTAACGAGACTAAATAACAATCAATTAGTTAGCAGTATTAGAGATCCATTGTGTCAGAGTACAAGATTGCATTTGAGTTTGTAATTGGATTGTTTCATGTTCATTTTCTTTCCTAGCTTGGTTGAAAGCCAAAGAGCAGGAGAAGATGAGTTAGTTTGAAAATCATTAACGTCATACACTTACATTGATTCCCAAAATTTTCTTCACGCCATACATGTGATATAGTGCACATACTAGTTCCCTAATCACGGTGTTGAGCCCAGGGCATAGACCACCGCATGTCACAATTGCAGCCTGAACATCATCCGCTTCGAAATATACCTGAATCCAGTATCCCACGGTCATAAACACAATAAGGCAGTATTTTATTCTTAACAAGATAATCCCACACACATGGAAACATACCCTTTGACGAGGTCCAGCACGCCGAAAATGCACCCCTCTCGGACTATCTTTGTTAGAAATTATCTGTAAATAAACAAATGACATAAATTAAAGAACTAGTGCTTAAATTGCAACTAGCATTCCAACAATTTTACGATAACCTATCAGAAACTCTCCCGTCAGCGTTTTTCCAATTCGATTTAAACCAGTCCAAGCGATTTGTTTTATCTTTTTTTTTGTGCTCTTTTATTAACTTGGATTCGATGATGTCCATTCTTGGTGAAAACGTGAATTCGTGATGACAGAGGTTTTATTATTTATTACAAGATTACATACTGTATATGATTACCGCGTCAGAGTAAACTCGATTTCTGTAATATGTATTTTGTCCATTCCATCTCCATGAGTCATGGAGTTATTTTATTATATTCGAGATATTTTATAAGAATTATTTTTATAAAATTATTTCACACATAATTTTAATTATAAAATATTATCTATTTTAAATTCAATTTTTATAATTTTATTTTTTTTAATTATCAAAATATATTTATATGTTTATATATTTTTTTTTATGTTATTGATGTAAGACTTATTTATATTTGAATAATGAGTTAGTTATTTTTTTTTTTCTTTCTTAGATTAATTAGGATCCGATGATGTTCCTGGAGAAATCATGGATGCGTGATGTATGTGGAGGTATACTCTAAACGACACAGGTTTTTACAATTTATGATAAATTTAACGCGATAGAATAAATTGGTAGTACAGTATGTTGTAATCAACGAACCTTCTGCGGAACACTGTCATCGACGTGCACGAAATATTGCCTGAGAAGTGGCAAATAAATATAAATAATGAGGAAAAAGTAAGAAGAATAAGAAAGAGCGAGTAAACGAAACTTACTTGACAACTGAGTAAGCAGGATTGGTCTGCAATGGATTAGAATATATCTGCGCAACACAAAAATGATATATACATTAATTATTGGTTGGAATATACATACATGTATGATGATGAAGAAGAAGAGGAGAGAGAGAGAGAGAGAGAGAGTAAAATTAAAATAGTTATGCGGAGAAGAAGCAAGTTGTAACAGGGCGTAGGCGTAGAAGAAGAGCGTAAAGAGGAGAAGGACGACGTACTGGAAGGTCGGGAATGTAATCAGCCATGTGCGGAACATCCTCCAACACGTAACCAGCGCTGCCTCTCACGATCTTAGGCTTGGAATTGGGCGAGGAACCCATAATGTATATTGTAGAGACTAGAGAAAAGAGAAAGAGGAAAAGAATTGAATATTGAATGCGTTCAAGAGTGAGTTAGGGAAGGGCCAAGGGTCTTATTTATATATTTATAGTAAACGATTAAGAGGTGATGTTTGAATTAATAGGAAGCACTCTTTTTGCGGTTGAAAAGGAAGTAAAGGAACAAGTGGCTTTCGGAGGTCCACGCTTTGACCCAGAGATCGAAATAGCTATGCCTACGACTCCACCAGCAATACCATCACGTTTCCAAGAAGCTGCCACCAACAACAACAACAACCATTATTATTTCTTCTCTTGTTTTAATCAATAAATTCATAATCACTCATGTTAAACAAAGAGTAGCTACCTACGATTGCTCAATGTGTTAGACTTCAACATATACAATCCTATATAATGTTTTTTTTACAACTCTAATTTTTAAGCTTTTCATTTTTCTCTCCCTCTATCTCTTTACTATATCATTTTATTTAGATGTATCAAATAGTAATTTAAGAATCTAAAAATTATCCTTTTTTTAGGAGATAATTTATTTATCACTTTATTACTTATTATAACTGTATTTTTTTTCTTTTTTTCTTTTCGTTTGTGTCGAATAGCACATAGGTGTTCAAAAATATTTTGTGTAACTGCTGTTTTAATATATTTTATCCTATCTCTCGTATAGATTATCCTTTCTCCTTGTTGATGTAGTATACTATATCATGTGTCTTTATATTTAAATAGATCCTAGACTTTAAAAATTTATAACTCAATCTTTAATTTTTTTTATGTTAATAATCAAGTCTTGAGATTATATGGTTTGCTTACAAATCATTAACTTAATTCAAGATCTAAGTATAAAAATTTTAAAAGATTAAAGACCTAATTGAAAATTTCAAAAATTATTTAATATAAAAAAATTATGTATTAAAAGGTTTATTTTGAAATAAAGAAAATAACACTTTTTTAAATAATTATATACAGAAAAGATAGAAATTAAAAAGATATAATCTCTTAAAAAAGATTAGAGCTATAAAAATTAGTTTTTCTTAATAACTTGATGATAAGATTGGGTTGAAATCTTCATTTCGAGAAAAAAAAAAAAAAGAATAAAACCAATTTGATAAGTGAAATTAGACATTAACTTTAATTAAACCTTCGACACAATATTATCAAATCAATATCTTTGGCATCGGCATTGGCATTAGCATTACAGTTCATTTTATTTATTACATAAGATAAGAAAACATCAATATTATGTTTATCTATTCCTAAATGTATATGTGTATCTCCATGAAACTATATATACATGTCTCGACCTAGCTAAAGGGTTTGGGACCCTCAAATACCAAACCATATTTGTAGATCAGTCAAAGAGTTATGTAGACCAAGACAATTCCTAAGAGCATGATTTGAAAGACGTCCTAACAAAACTTTAATCTGCCAGGATTATTTCGAAGAACAATGAATGATACATGTTTGTTAAAAAAACTTGAATTCGTGTTATTTTTATTTTAATTATTAGAAATGTCGTACAAATGTTAGTTGCATAAGTTTGTTAACATCTTAATTAATATCTTTGCCTCAGAAAACATAAAATACATGATAACGAAAATAGCAGTGACACAACGATAGTTATAGATATAATACTGAGAGTAGTAACAACGATAATAGAAATAAAAGAAATAATATTAATAGTTTCAAAATGTGATTATAATTGAGTTTTGATTTTAATGATATATTATTTTAACTTAATAAAATAATTTTTATTAATTAATTGTAATGATAAAATCAATGTTTTGAGAAGAGTCATTCTCTTTCTATACATAAAAACATGTCATATTAAAAAACCTTGAAATATATATATTCAATGGTTATAATTATTTATTGGTTAAAACCCTTATTTGATTCCTGATAACATTTTTTTGTTTTAATTTAGTCTCATTTTAATTTTTGGTCTCAATTTGGTCCCCAATAATTTAAATTATTGCAATTTAGGACTTCCGTTCAAATGATTTAAACGGAGTTAACTATTGGCCACGTGGATGTCACGTAGATGCTTACGTGGATGCCAAATTTTCTGAAAAAACCTAGAATCAGAACGGCCTGTTTTGAAACCAGAACGGGCCTTTCTGAATGCACTCTTGGTGTATTAATTTTGCATCCGGAACAACCCGTTTTAGGTGAAAAATTAACATACTAAGAGTGCAACCAGAACGGACCATTCTGGTTTCAGAATGGGCCGTTCTGGTTCCAGAATACCAAACATTATAGTTTACGGTTGTGAATCGTGAAAGAAAAAAAATCCAAAGTACAAAGTATTTCAAACACTGAATTTGGTAATATTGTCAATGAAAATTGATAACTTCAATTGCTAAACAGTTGTGCTATACAGTGTATCATTAAGGACAATGCAGTGTATCATTAAAGACAATGGCAACATATTTTATTTCATTGTTAGTCAAACTGGAGTGAACCACTTACTACCAAATTGACACTATACAGTTAAGGATGAAACAAAACGGTGTTTTCCCTTGAGCATTATCCAGATGATTTCCTTTCTCAGTAATTTCTTTGAACTTTTTTAGTATATGTTATGTTCTGAATTTTTGTTTTCAGTTTTTGAATCATGTTTCTGTCTTTGAATTTATGATATGTTATGAATTTTTATTTTTCAATTTTTGAATCACATTGCGGCATTTTGGTCAACGCATGGATGAAGTTGACTTTCTGGAACGGGGCATTCTGAATCCAGAACGGCCCGTTCTAAAAATCAGAACGACCCGTTCTGGTTTCAGAACAGCCCATTCTGATCATGATGTGTGAAATTTGCATTTGGAACGGCCCGTTCCGATTATAAAATTAACACATACCATGTGCAAGCAGAACGGTCCGTTCTGGTTTCAGAACGGGCTGTTCTGGTTCCATGTGTATTCATGCAATTTGGCGTCTACCTATGCATCTACGTGGCATCCACATGACCAACAGTTAATTCCGTTTAAATCATTTAGACGGAAGTCTCAAATTGCAATAATTTAAATTATTGGAAACCAAATTGAGACAAAAAATTAAAGTGAGACTTAATTGAAATAAAAAAATATTATCAGCGACTAAATAAGGATTTTAACCTTATTTATTTTAAGTGTCAGAGCATCTTCCACTTTAGAAATTCCCCAAAAGCCCCCAAATACCAATACTTACAAAGGAAAATTCTTTTAGAATGAAATATATATATCGAAAGGAAATGTATGAGGCAGTGGTTTCAATCAATGTTTTTAAGTTCTAAAAGAGGATTGGTAATGAAACTCATTCACACACTAGTTCACTGTTGTTTATATTCAACTAGAGGTACTCTACTCGTATGATAGGATTATTATGGGAACAAAATTTTCTCTTTGAATATAACGTAATTGCATATTTAAAATTAAAATTTGAGATTAATGATTGATCTACTAACTTGGTGATACACTAGTTTATTGTTTATTAGGCTCTATTATAGTAAAATTAGTAATCACTAAATACTTTTAGTATTATTTAATATGTCAAATGATAAAGTATTCAAATTATATATCTAAAATTATGAATTAACATAATGAATTACGTTATGTGTTAGATAAAAATTATAATAAATAATTAATAATAGAAAACCATGCAAGGACTTCCTATATCAATATTTATTTAAAAAATGTGCTTTTGAATAATAATAAAATAACTTATTTAAATGAATTTCTATAATTCAAATGAATAGTCTTTTTATACTAGGAATTTTTTACTAAAATAATATTTTTTTAAAAAAAAAATACTCAAATAACACCTGTATCAACTTATTTACCCAAGTATACTTGTTTACTGTTCATGTTCAGAATTCGGTAGGAACCGAATTCTGAGCAGCGTTTTATATATTTTTTCTTTTTTTTTTTTGCGTTTTTAGGTTTAAGGAATGTGTAAATTTTGCATTTGGAACGGCCTATTCTGCATTAGGAACAGGCCGTTCTTAAATCAGAACAGACCGTTTTAGAGTTCTGTTTTAACTACTTGGATAAATAAATTAGTACAGGTGTTATTTGGGTATTTTTATAAAAAAAATAATATTTCAGCCAAAAATTCTTATACTAGAGTTAAGAAATGCCAATAGTGATGCCTGAGCTGAGAAAAAAAAATGAAATGTAATGCGGCTAATTATAGCAAGAACAGTTGAAATAGTGATAAAATTACAGTCACGAGCGACTAAAAAACTAACCCTCCCATCTTTCGTTCTTTATTTCCGGATTCTGCCAACTCCTCAGATTTCTGAGTTTTATCCCTCACACTCTGTAGCTTTTCATATAAATTAGAGCCTTTATACAAAACCAGCCTTCAAAAACCTCCACTAGTCTCACTTTCCTTTCCACAAAAATGATTCCGTCTCAGTTATCCAAGTGTGCTCTCCTCTTCATTTCTTGCACCTTCGTCATCAACTTCTTGAACATTCCAGTTTCTGCCCTCAACATAAGTGTTGAAATCGAAACCCCCGGAATCAATGTCTCCATGGTTCGCTTCTTGCTTCATCTTTTTAATTCCAAACACTTCATATTTTAACATACAAAAAAAAAGTCTAATCCTTCTCCCTTTATGTGCAGAGCATAGAGTGCAGCAGAAAATGTGAGTCAAGCTTCTTTTCAGCTACTAGTAGTCTAATTTCTTTCTTTCTTCTAACTTAGCTTATTTTTAATTTGTTATGATGTCTTTGGGACAAAGAAAAGTGTGCTAATTATGTAATTTTGGAATGACAGTGCCTCCATCATTGGGATATGACAATTACTGTGGACTTCCTTATGATGGCCTTGATGCTCTTTGCATGATTCATGATAAATGTGTCCAAGTCAATAAAAGTGAGTTCAATAAATCGTTAAATGTTGATTTCTTGATTCAAACATTTTACATTATGGCTGGGATTCTTGATTTGATTTAATAGTTCAATTCTATCGGACTCCTAAACTGAGATTGTAAAGTTTCTTTCGAGACTAGATATTCAATTTAGTTCTTTTAATAATGTTTCCAGTTCTTTTTTAAGATTTTGATTTATATTTAATGCACACA